CACTAAAAGAGGTACATTTAAAGTGTTAATATATAGTCTGAATCTAAATCTGCATGATTTTATATTTTACCTAACTTATATGATTTTTAGGCATCCGCTCGGGAGTCACAACAAGTGACGCAGCAGGTTCGTAGCTTACCACCCACTGGTCCTCCGAAGCAAGCGGCAAAAAAAGGCGGTGCTTTTGTGCCTCGATACCGTTCGACACTCGCAACAATGGTTGATATGTCCGATTTGAAGGATGGTGGTTTACGTGAAATCAACATGGATGAAAGTGTCTTTGGTATTGAATTCCAGTCACATATTACATTTGATGACTTGGAAGAGATTTTTACCCATGATCAACTAGGCGTCAGTAATATGCACTCATACATCCGGTAATATTCACTCATCCGATATATTATTTAATTAGTCCCACAATATAATTTATTTACACATTTCAATGAAAATAATCTAATGTTTATTATGTTTTTATTTAAGGTTGTTGTATGACAGAGTGTTGCGCGGGACTGCATTGTCTAACAGATTTCGTTTCGTGTCTTCCGCCCATTGCAGCGGAATGACAATTGCTTCGGAACCGGAATCAGTTAGACAGCGCTTAGTAGATAGATTCATGTCCACCGGCAATACAGAAAGTCTGCATCTTTGGGCGTATAATACCCGACCAGTAGGGTTAGTTTCTCATTCTTGGTTCATCTAATCTCTGTTTCTTTTGTGTATAGCAAAATTTTCATATAACCTATTGTTTTAATTTATAGAGCACACTGGTTGCTGCTTGCTATCAACCCGATAAGAGAAGTCGTGTATTATCTGAATTCGGTAAATGGTGAATGGACCAATTATCCGGCTATGAAGGAAATCGTTGATTTGTAAGTGGGATCGTTCTAAATATATATTCGTGTATATTTATATATTTTCTTATTTGTGGGATTGATTTAAACATATGCTTTTATATATTTAATAATTAGATCAATACAAGTGTTCCGTAGTCAACGGGACGCACAGGTATCCCGAACTAAATCGAACAACATCACTTGGATCCAAGTGCAGGTACATTACTTTTCACAATTTTGCTTATAATATTTATGCTACTTGGTAAAACAAGACAACTATAGAATCTTATTTGTTTTATTATGTAGTGTCCGCAACAGCGAAACAGTCATGATTGCGGATACTTTGTTTTGAGGTTCATGAAAGAAATCCTTCAGGCGAATCAATTAGAGATTCCGCTCACGGTATGAATTTATAACTTAAGATAATTTCATATAATTTATTACATTTAACTAAATATATCATTTATATTATGTTTTTGTTTTGTAGTACCTTGACGAATTCCGTGCTGCTGCGTACCCGAAGCTTAAGTTGGAAGAAATTAAAGAAGATTTGTGTCAATATTATATTAAGCAATTTTTCATGTAGGATTTGTGTCGATTTGAACTATAATATTATTGATGTAATGATGTATATATATAATTTTGGATATTATAATGGTATTATATTAGTACATATATTGTCTTACTGATGGCTGAAATAATAGCGTCGAAAATATATTACAGGTCAAAAATATATTACAGGTCGAAAATATTACAGGTCGAAAACATTACAGGTCGACTGGGAGGATTAAATTATAGGCTGCACATAAAAATACCTCATTTAGAAACGACAGCGCTTTTAAAAAGCGCTCTTAAAGGTCCACCTACTAAAGCGCTTCTTAGTAAAAGCGCTGCCAAAGACCAGTAAAAAAGCATAAAAAATTAAAAAAAAACGCAGCATACAAAAGCGCTTTTGGAAAAGCGCTCTGGTAGGCCCCCCTATAAGAGCGCTTTTTCCAGAAAAAGCGCTCTTATAGGGGGGCCTACCAGAGCGCTTTTACAAAAGCGCTTTTGTATGCTGCGTTTTTTTTTAATTTTTTATGCTTTTTTACTGGTCTTTGGCAGCGCTTTTAAAAAGCGCTCTTAAAGGGGGGTCTACCAGAGCGCTTTTTCCAGGAAAGCGCTCTTATAGGGGGTCCTACCAGAGCGCTTTTTCCAGGAAGCGCTCTTAAAGGGGGGATCTACCAGAGCGCTTTTAGAAGCGCTTTTGTTACCTACGCCAGCGCAAGCTTTTAAAGCGCTTTTAAGCGCTTTTAAAGGCCAAAATAAGCGCTTTAGTAGCCCTTTTCCGTAGTAGTGAAAGCTCGAGAAACTTGGTGTTGAGAGGTTATAACTTATTTGGATGAAGAACTTGGAGGAAAAAACTGAAAAGTTGCGAGAATCGCCTCACGCCACAAGCGAAGAAAAACTGAGAGGTTGAGAGAACCGCTTCACACCGCGAGCAAAGAAAAGATTGAGAGGAAACTTGAGAAGGTGACAAATGAGTCCCAAGGGTTCCCTTTTTGTAGGCGACCCACGCCCCAAGGGATCCCACACGAAGGGTCATCACCTCATTGGTCCCTTTTGCTTTTTCCTTGAAAGGATGACACCCCAAAGCACTAGCCACGTGGCTCAACTATCAACCACGAAGTCTCTTATGGACTGGAGAGCATACGTCAGACTCCTACATGTCACCCACAAACGTAGGGGGGCAAACACTTACACGAGGAAATGCTCGGCACTAGAATGCACAAAGGGGTACATTTATTTAATCGTCTCGAGGACGAGGAAATGCTCGACAAACTAACAACTCCCAGGAGACGGGTATGTCAAAGGGAACCTCGCAGAGGCTTCCCGCCACCAATATGCCCCCTCGAGCAAGCGGTTGAACCCTTCGATCCAGATCCTCGTTTGTCCATGATACTCCCCGGCGTATTCGAGCATGCCCCCCCCGCGGGCAACGACCCTCTCCCTTCGGGGACTTTGGCCCCCTACCTCGACCAAGTCTTTGGTAGGGAGAGCTGAACTCAAGTCATCGCCCTCTAACTCGAGGACAATAACTTGGGGGGCTCCTGATCTGGACTGGGCTTATATTTTCCCTATGAGCGAGAGACACAAGACAACCCAAGTTAGGGATTGTGGGGCAATTCCCCATCCAACTATTGGGAGACGTGGCCCACGACCTCTTGACAGACATCCCAAACTGCCCTCCGGGAATCTTGGGTCTAGCCCTATTCTCACAGAGCAGTTGCCCAGGGGGAGTCCACTTGCTGGACTCCATACACACATAAACCCTGGCAGTTCCCGTTATTGAACCTCTGCGTGGCCCAATAGTGGGGACCTTGGTCCAGCGCTGGGGGCTATAAATACCCTCTCTCAGAAGAGGGTCAAATATTCATTCACACATCTAATACTCATACTTGCTTGCTCATTCCGCTTCTCACTTTACCATCGGAGTGTCTTGCAGGTATCCCCTCCATCTCATTCAAGCTCAGTCCGAAGCCAACTGTGACGGTCCAACTCTAATAAGGTAAGATCAATAGTAATCCATACAATTACACAGATAACTTCATTCATATTTTTTATTTGATAAAGTTTGATCATTTTAAAAAAACTAGCTATTATGATGTTAGTTATCTGTGAAATTAAAAGTTTAATTACTTTTAATAAAATATTACAATTAAATATATATTTACTTACTATTAATATTATTATAATATAAATAATTATCGTATAAAAACATTTAAATACAAATCTAAATTTGAATGAGTGAGGTTGAAATTTGTTTAGACACATATAACCTTGAAATGAATGATTTAATTTAAATAAATAATAATCATAAATTTTTTACTGTATTAAATAATTATATAAAAAAGAATATAAATATAAAATATTAAATAATCATAGAAAAAAATAAAATTTTATCAAATGCAAAATTTTAGATATAAATATAAAATTTGAAATAATTTACTTATTTGTAAAATAAATAATATTCATATAAATTTAATTATATTAAATAATCATATAAAAAGAAAAAGAAAAACTGTGAGATGGAAAAAAATTAATATTTTAAAATAAAAATATAATTAAAAAAAGATATTGTATTGATAGTGATCCATGAAAAAATGATATAGATTTTATTTAAATATATCTATGTAAATTTGAAATAATTTATTTAATTATAAAAAAATTATGTCTTATATAAAAAAAAATTGTTAATTAAAATAAAAAATATATTTCGATGATAGTGGTCCGTGAAAATAATAGAAATTTTATGACTTAATTATTATTCAGAAAAAAATATTAAACATCCACCTAGAGAAAACAATAGTATAAAATAAATAAAAATAAAATATATTTTTCAATACTGACTACCTGTAAGGTCACACGATACTGATGTACTGATATATACTGATGTACTGATATATTACGCGCATTAGTTTTCAAAGATATAATAAAAATGAAATTAAAAAAAGGCAAAATTGTCTAAACAAAATTGTTTAATATTTTTAAAAGAGATAATAAATCCATGTTTATAAAAAATTTAAGTTATGGTATGATCAAATTTGATTTTTATTATTGGTCATCATGAAAATTATTAATAACAATAAAAATTTAAAATTGACAAATCAAAATAATATATTAAATCATTAAAATGTTTAAATTAACAATACATAAAGTTTTTGGTATATAAATTACATACATAATTAAACCCACATTTCTAAAAGTCACCCACAAAATTGGATCATGTCTATCTTGTACAGTACATGGACGGTGATTACCTTTGGTAGATATTGATATATAGTTTTTCTTCTATAGTGTAAAAGGCTTTCTTCTGATTTCAAATAAATTTTAATGATACATACCCTTCTGCGTTGGATCATGGATGCTATCAGTGCAGAAGTGAATATACACAGACTATAATGATCTGCAAAATATAATATCAATGCAGCAACTGAGAGTATCTAACATATGCATATGATAATTCTTAGCTTAAACATGAGACTAAACAGAAAGAACTTGTTGAAGGATACCCTGCCAAACAGAAAGAATAACCAATTGAAATTGGGAACATAAGCAACCAAGCTGTGAGGTAAATTATAACAGTAATCTGCATTAACAACATCTTTGTACTCTTTATGAAATGATTCAAGATTGTTTGTGAAATGGAACTCCAATGTCCCATTTTTTGAACGCATCTTCCCAAGTAAGTAACAAACTCGCAGGAGTAACAATAACCGGATGACACTTCGGGAAAAGTTTCAAATAAGCCATCAAAAACACTATGGTCAACCTTGTCTTTCCGGTTCGGGGAGCATGTGAAATAATACAGCCATCCTCTCTGAAGATCGCGTACTTCAAGTCGTGAAGATTGATGTTTCCTGCCAAGTTTTTCCAAATGAACTCAAATCCTTCTTGTTGGTGAGGATATAGTTTGTTTCACATCGGGAATTAGGTTCCAAACCTTGCCTTTATCATGAGAAATGATTAGTCTGAGTCACCACCATCAGAAACATTGAACTGAGATCGATCAAAGGGTGAGACATTTACTGAATTATTAGACAAAGCTCTTTTTCCCGAACCGTTGGGAAATCTATCAACCTTTGTCATGTGCAATACAAAAATGTAAAACTCAGTGCATCTTATCAACATATCTCGGTAAAAATATAATCTCTATTATTTAAATTCCACAATGCTAGAGTGCTATCACCGCAATCACATATCAGTACCCATAAGCAAACAACTTTTTCAAGAAATCACCAATCTACACAAAATTTACAAAAAGTTAATAGATAGAAATACTACCACAACAATTGCGTCCTTACTAATCGAAGCCTTGTCCATCTAAAAGAAGAAAAAACATGTCACCACTCATCATATTAATTAGTTTGAACCATGATTAGTATTAATTTAGGGACCACCAGAATGAATTAGTGAAGTTTACCTTGCTAAAGGGCCAATGCTTTAAGAGCAAAGAGTCTCTGAGTTTCTTCATTTCAACCGGTAAGCACTCATCCAATTTAGCTTTATAATGGTGTATAGTCGCTGTAATTTTAATTCAAACCAAAATCTGCACCAAAATTGAATCACAATCAAAGTGTAGTAAAACCCGTCCGTAATTGAGTCGAAACCGTAAAAATGCAAGAATTCCAAATCGCAACGAATTGTGAACAGAAAACGTAAATCAAATTTTGAACTGAAACAAAACTCGATTTAAAATCGAAACAAACCTGTACCGAAAATTTGGCTCAAATGCAAAATCTGAACTGTGAAAAAGTTCTGCTCGAATCCAAACTGTACACTGAGTTGAAACCTCCAAACTCAAACCAAAACAGAACTGAGTAGCAACTCAATTATGAACAGAAAACGTTCGCGAACCCCAAACATAACTGTGAAGCTCAAATAGAACCCCAAAACTGAAATTAAAACAATTTGAAATCGTTCACATAATGAATAATTTGAATCTCACTCGTTCACATAATGAATAAATAGCTTGAAATCCAAAACAGACATCCTCAACAAATCAATGAAATCATATTGATTACTTTTCTATACAAAAATTATCACATAAGATAATAAAAACAAAAACCTTTGCTTTAAAATGATTTATGGCGTCATCTTTCAAATTAAACAAACTCTCAACCATGCTTCTCAGATGAATATGCAATCCTTCTTGTGATTTGGCTACTAAAACCTTTAACAAACTAATATTGGCCTTCAACATGAAGACAAATATTTAATTAATGGCCCATGGATTTGAGTTGCAGCAACAAAATGCGAGTTGCAAGACAGCAATAACGGCAACATCATAACCAATTCACAAGCTGCATTTTGAACATCATCAGCATTATAACATCACAACATAAGAAAATCAAAACTAAAGCAAAAAGAAGAAAGAATCCGGTTGAGACATTTCATCGAACACCTTGCGAGCGAGGACAAAATCAATATAATTCAAACCAACATCTGCACCAAAATCGAATCACAATCAAACTGTAAAACAAAATACATTAACATGAAAATACATTAAATCCTATATTTGATAAACCAAGTATATAGGAAGTATCATAAATTTTATCATAAAATGGTTTAACTTGTTGTAAACCAACTAACCTTTCAATGTAACAATCGTCCTCTGTATTTACAAGAATGGCATCACCGGCTACAGTGTGAGGCGGAACCTGGAAGATGTTGATCATATGGACAAACGAAGAAATAAGCACTTGGCATTACCAGCAACAGATATTGAATCAATTCAATATAATTCAAATGGAAAGAATTTACTGCCATTTATTTTTAAAATATAATTGATTTTGTTGAAACACATGTGAATATTGTAAACATGGTAATAATTTCTCGTAAGTACAGTGATTATGACATTTCTCGCTTTAATTATAATTCAAACCAACATCTGCACCGAAATCGAATCACAATTAAACTGGAGTAGAACACGTAATTGAGTCTAACCCGTAAAAATACAAGAATTCCAAAACGCAACCAATTATGAACAGAAAACGTATATCAAATTCTGAACTAAAACAAAACTCGATTTAAAATCAAAACAAACCTGTACCGAAAATTTGCAAGCTGCTTTATGGAAGAGTCAAACAACATGTTATGGAATCTTCTTCTGGAAAAAAAAAAACATAAAAGAGCGAAAAAGTTCCAAATAAGCTTATTCAAAAAAGAGCTTTAAAGAGTTTTAAAGGTAGGAATACAATTTTATGGAAGGCTGAAACTAAATAGTCGTGGAAGAGTATTACGAAAACTTCATCTACATCCGTCGGAGATGGAAAACGGTGGTCGAAGTGAGGTTGCTCGAAACAACATTCCAATCGATTCATTAGGAAATCTGTGAGATGAGGAGTGTGAATATACTTTTAGTTTTTTGATCGGAGGTGATGGTGGTCGTTAGTAGGAGAGAATATACTTTTAAATTGAATATCTTCGGCACACAATTATAAAGACTATTTTTTTAAGTTATATAAGATTAAGGGTGTTCAAAACCGAATCAATCTCATAGAAAATCGTAAATTAAACTAAATTAAATTGAAATAGTAAAAATTTGTATTTGATTCTGATGTGTTTAGGTCATTTTTTAACAAAACTATACGGTTCGGTTTGTGGTTTGTATTTTACAAACTGAATCAAATCGCATTATGTTACAACCTAAATTTTGCTTAACTCACATCCGATACAAACCTATTATACATTGGTCTTATAATTACGAATAATTTTTTCATCCTTACACTTATGATTTCAGTTCTGATCTTCTCAAATCTCTCATAGCATTATCGCGCCTTCTTCGCCAAATACATCTTGTCTCTTCTTCTCTAATCTCTACTCTCTTATATTGTTTCTTTTTCATCTTCTCATTTTTATTCAAATGTTCTCTTTTTCAATTTCATTTTTATCGCACATCTTCTTCTCTAATCTTTCACCTCTTATGTTCTTTCTTTTTCATCTTCACTAATCTCTAGTCTCTTTTTTCTTCTTCTTTTTCATTATAATATTTTTGATATTGTTTTATGCTATTATTATATGTATTATTCCACTTTTGTGTAATCTAATTTTTACATATTAAATGGGAAGTTGTTGTCTAAATATGATGAGTTTTATTGTTTTTTGGTACTACCTCCGTTTCAAAATGAATGTCGTTTTACTAAATAAATTTTGTTTCAAAATAACTGTCATTTTCACTTTTAAATATAGTAATGATTACTATTTTTTCAATCGTGTCATTTAGTTTTTACTCTCTATATTACTTTCAATACATTAATATGGTTAATTTTGTAAAAGTGTAATAATGTCTTATAACAACATCATTGCATTCCTTAATTTGTGTGCAAAAACCTTAAAACGATATTCATTTTGAAACGGAGGAAATAGTGTATGAATGATTAAATATAAAGTTATGTTGTCATTTATATGTATATGACTCAATAAAATATTTGTAAAAAACCGAATCAATCGACCCGAATCAAACCAAATTGTTTTGGTTTAGGTTGATTTTTTCTAAAATCTAATCGAACTAAATCAGACTTCATATTTTCTCTCTTGCGATTTTAGATGACTTTTATCGTCAAAACCGTTCAGTAAATATTCCTTTACAAGACTTCAATAAATAACAAAACTTTTGCTTAAAATTTTTTCACTCTGTTGCATGTTTCAGATTAAACTCGAAGTTAAAATTACTTTTTAAATTAAAAGATATTTTTTACCATCTTATTTAAATACTCTCTTAAGTAAGTGAAGCAATATTGGGTTTTCATCATAAATTTTATTATTTTTAAAAAAATTAATTATTCAATCTCCCGAAAAAAATATCACTACATTAAATATTGAATGTTTATTTAATTTTATGGTCAATTATCAATACTTCAATTATTTTATATTTTTTTCATCTTCTTTCTCTTCTGATTCTTTATATTGATTTTCATTTTCATGGACCTTATCTAAAATTTCAATAATTTATTTTCTTTATCATCTTTATTAAAAAGACTCTAAATTTAAATCTCTTTTTGTTTATGTATTCTTTTTTAATCAAAGAGAACTAATATAATAAGAACATTATCATCACCTAATTCTACCTATTGAACTCTTTCTACTTTATCATCTTCATCATCGTATGAACAAATTCATAAACAAAAACGTACTCACCCAAAAATGAAAAGAAAAATGAGTTACTTTATGTTTATGTTTTTTTTATTATGAATAGAAAAATCAATTTGTATGTTCATTTGTTTTATAACATATAAACTCAATCTATTAAATGATGATTAGCTAGTTAGATTAAGGTAGTTTTATGTTAATTAATCATGTCCGTGTTATTAGAATACTTAGTTATTTCAATTACTTCACATGCAAGTAACTATACCCTATATATAAGGTTTTCTCTTGCCTTGTATATTTAAGTTCAATAATAATTAATGATATTACTATTCTTCTATGATTTCCTTTATGGTATCAGTTGTGTAAATTTGAAAGAATCGTCATTTTTCTTTTTCATTAATTCGAAATTCACCACATCTTACAACAACGGTGGATCACGACCACAACGATCCTCCTACCCCCAAAAACAACAAACAAACAAACATTGATTCTGTTCTTGATCAATCCAGCCCTTACTACATTCATCCTGCAAAAAATCTCGGTGTCATCCTCGTTTCTCCGCCACTTTCTAAACATAACTATGAATCTTGGATTCGATCTATGAAGCGTGCACTCTTGAGCAAGAACAAAATCAAATTCATCAGTGGCAATATTATAGCTCCAAGTGAAGATGACTCGTTGTTTGACACATGGGAACGATGTAACAATGTCGTTTTTGCATTGATTTCTGCATCTCTTGCACTTGACATCGCTCAGAGCATAATTTATGTTGAGAATGTTGCTCAACTTTGGACAAATCTTGCAAATCGTTTTTCCAAAGGTGACCATTTTCGTATATTTGATCTCTTACAACAAGTTCACTTCATTCATCAAGGTGATAAGACTGTGACTGCATACTACAATAAATTGAAGACTCTTTAGGAGGATCTTGAATCATTGCGATCTCTTCCTACTTGCACTTGTGGTGTAAGCCTCAAAATCAAGAAACAAAGAGAAATGGAGTGTGCCATTTGTTTGAATATTCAAAGCAAAATGACCAATGGCCGGAAAATAAATAAAGCGACCACTTGGGCCGAAATTATTTGAATATTACATAAACGAGCAACAACCCAGGAAATAACAAATATTACAAAAACGACACGCATGCCGAAACAAATACACAATCACCCCTCCGCTTCTCCTTCGACGATAGGCGACAATCGAGCAGGATCCCCAGCCAGTTGATCGATAATATCCCTAAGATAGTCAGGAACCAGAATCTGACTGTTAACCACGTAGTAGTTGACCCCCATGCCCGAAGTGTTAAGCTCAACAACAGGATTCAACACACACATCTGACTCACCGCATTATCGAAGCTCCCCTCAGAAGCGGCCTGAGCATCA